TCCTGTTCTCTGCTTTGTTAATTTTCCACTATTTTGAATGATGCTAGCGGTCGGCTTTTCCCTACGTCCACTTCCCCTTGGAAGATGATCGAGTATTTTCCGTGAAAAAGTTCGTCGATGACCGGCTGGTACGTTTCCGTCACCCGCTGTGGTAGAAATAGCACTTCCGGTCCTAAATCTAGTAGCACGGCTTCCCCAAATTTCGACTTGACCACTTTAGCTGCTTGGATTGCAAATGGTGTCCCGACTGGTAGGTCCTTTAATTTTCTGATAGGTTTGCGGTCTACAATCGAAGACGCAGCATTAATTTTTGATAAATCCATCTATAAAAAAAATTGAGTCGTCTAACTATTTTGAAGCATAACACGAAAAAAAAAAACAGTTGCATTTAGAGACATAAAAAAGAAAAATATTAAATAAAATAACACTTACTTTTTTTAAAATTTTCGCTCTCTCGTCTCTCTCGAAGCACTAATTGTACTGCGGTCGTTGTTGCAGCTTGCAGCGTTGTGCGTTAAGTGTGAAACAATGATGACTATTGCATGCGCTCGCTCAATATAAGTACGTAGTAGAGATGACACACGCGTGCATGAGATAATTGTATCGTAAATATGCATATTATATGCATCATATTCTCAGTACCATTTTTATCGAGAAAACTGCATGCGCTCGCTCAATATAAGTACGTAGTTGAGATGACACACGCGTACATGAGATAATTGTATCGTAAATATGCATATTATATTCATCATATTCTCAGTACCATTTTTATCGAGAAAACAACATTCATTGCGGTTGCAGTATTTTTTATATAATTTCTTAGTAATACATGAATGTATCGTTTGTCCGGCGGAAATTCCAATTACAAGTTGCACATGAGAGTAGAATTTTAGAAATATAGAAATTCGTGTATGATTATTGTATATTTGCTGCCTAATTTTTTTTCAGTCAAGATTTTGATTGGGGGGGTAAACGAATTTATATTTGCTATCTGAGATTTTTGACATCATTCTCTATCAAGATGTTGATGTGGGTAGACGTATTATTTTTTATTTCAACTTTCACATACGTGCTTTGCAACGATTTCTCCGAAAAAGACGCTATAGTATACCTAACTCAATATGAACATATCATCGATAATACAACAGATCTCTCTACTTTGCTAACTAACTTGCAAGAAAAGTATAATTTACCAGTGGATGGATTGTTGAATAATGCAACAATTGAATTTATGAATCGTCCGCGTTGTCAATACAGTGATGCTGAATTTAGAGCAAGTTTTCCATTTCGGAAACATGACCTGAAATGGTATTTCCCTCGAAACACACCTGCGGCCCAAAAAGATGCAGAAATGGCTTTTCAGATGTGGCAAAATGTTTCAAACTTAACATTTACAATGGTTACCAATCCCACTCTATATCCTCCTGATATTACTATAACCATGGTTAGCAAGACTCATTATTTTAGCGCAAACTGTATGGGTAATGATGAATGTCCATTGACATTAGATGATGCTGGCGGCGTTTTAGGACATGCATACTTTCCTGACTCTAGCGGCACCTGTAGAGAAATCCATTTAGATATAAATGAACGCTGGTATTTTGGAAATAATCCTAATATACCCAAAAATCAAACTAGTTTTCTTATGGTGTTGGTTCATGAAATTGGACATGCCCTCGGCATAGCACATAGTGCTTCTCCGAATGCTATTATGTTTGCCTTCTATCAGCATGAGATTCGTGGTCTAGATGTTGATGATATAAATGCAGTACAATATCTATATGGAAGAAAAAACAAATATGATTCAATCCCAAAGTCTACCACCGCATCAGCAATACCAAAAACAACAACAACTATAAGATCTACAACTCGTAAGCAGCCGATCCTCAAAAATTTGTGTGATATTATTCCAGATTTTATGTTTTTAGCTATTGCTCCAGAGTTTTCAAATTACCGATTATATATTGCACATGATATGTTTATATGGAAACTAGACTTAAACGAAATGATTATCCCATCTCAGCCTGAACTTCTTGTCGATTATGTTCCTACAGAATTACGTCAATACACTTTACAACATATTTTCCAATCAACAAACGGTGACTTGATTACCATTGTGTCTCCAAACAAATATTTCTCAGCATCATTCCCTACCATTAAATTTCTTGATAATTTTTCAATTGATATACCCGATAGGGCTCGAATCAATGCTATTTTTCAATCAAACGCAGGACGGTCCTATACCTTTTATAATAATATGTCATATATAGAATTTTCTAACGATTTTACTGATGTGTTGAACAGAGGACGGATAAGAGACATATTTCCTGAATTACCTGAAGATATTTCTCTCGCATTTCGATGGATTGATGGCCATATTTACTTTTTCCGTCACGCAACTTACTATAAATTTAATGAATTTACAAGAAAAGTTGTTGCGACCGGACCATTTCATTGGACTCTATTTGGAGTACCATGCCCCAGCGAGGATTTGTTACATCAACTAAAAACTCTGTTATCTAAACTTGTATCTGTATATCATTAAAAAATACATTTTTCAGAAAGCTATGTTTATTTCGTATTCAGCCTGTTGTCAAACAAAAAAAAAACAGCCGGTTCCTTCGACTCCCCACCCCCCCACCATCATTCTACTACATAAAGTTTCATTTTGAACGGTATCATCCTGTATAATAATAACAGTACATCGTAAACAGGTTATGAGACATTCTGACCGACCGACCGACCGACCAGAGGAGCCCACCACGCTATTTAGGTCACGCCTTGCTATATACGATTTAACGATATACCGTCGGTCCATCGATCCGCTATTTTTCGATGCACCCCTGTATACACGTTCTGAATGCCCCCCGTAATCCATGCCAACACCAGACAGGTGCGACATCGGCGCCATCTATGCGCGAGATGCCCAACCCATCAATGGCAGCTGTCCAATGACACATAGATTCCGTTTGGTTTGTACAGCGCCAAACAAATCGGCGCCATCTATGCGCGAGATGCCCAACCCATCAATGACAGGTGTCCAATGACACATAGATTCCGTTAGGTTTGTACACCGCCAAACAAATCGGCGCCATCTATGCGCGAGATGCCCAACCCATCAATGACAGGTGTCCAATGACGTATGACAGATGACGTGTAACGCCATCTATGCGTGAGATGCCCAATGACGCATGACAGGTGTCCAATGACACACAGATTCCGTTTGGTTTGACAGCGCCATCTAGCGGCGGAATCCCCAACTCATGATTACAGATTCCGTCCAACAACCTGTCAATGGCGCGCGACGCCAGCGCCTCTGGTGGCGGATTTTGGAACTTTTGAGACCGAATCCCCATAAGACATCTACTTCAACTATATCTTCGAACATGTTAAGTCTGACCTGACTAAATACAGGGTCCGGCAATGAAGTATGGTGTTTTTGCAACGAGTATTACATGCAGCACTGTCGAGCCAATGTTTTCACGATGATTGATATCTACTCGTTCCGCGATGCCATTTTAGTAGCCATGGAGCCGTGGTCTGTGGCACATCGCGTGTTTATTTACAACACTTTTATTGAAACTGGTCGTTCTGTTGTGCTCACACAGCGACGATTTCGAAACCATTTTAAAGTTGGTCGGCATGGTCGCGTTCCAAGACGCGATACCATTTTGAAGTGGGTGAATAAATTTCAAACAACCGGATCCTTGAGACCTGGTACTGCAAGGGGAAGAGATCGAACAGTGCGAACTCCGGAAAACATTGAAAGAGTGCAACAAGCGATGGATACTAGCCCTCACCGTTCAGCGATACGTCACGCTCGCGCTCTTAGAATGTCAGATCGTTCAGTTCGCAGAATCTTGCATTTGGACCTCCGTTAACATCCGTATAAAATTATGGTTGTGCAGAAGCTGCTCCAAAATGACTTTGTGAGACGACACAGGTTCGCAGAAAGGATGCTGGAATTGCTGCACGGCAACATCGTTTTGTTCATTAGTGACGAGGCCCATTTTCATTTATCGGGCATGGTAAACAAACAAAACTTCGGATACTGGGCACACGAAATCCCACGAGAACTGCATGAACAACCTCTGCACTCTGAGAGGGTAACTGTTTGGAGTGCCGTATCTCGAAATTGCATAATTGGCCCGTATTTTTTTCGTGAAAACGGACGAACAGTGTCAGTGAACTCAGATCGTTATTGCGCCATGTGATTATTTTCTGCCCGAACTAAGAAGACGACGCATTGACATCAATACAGTTTGGTTCCAACAAGATGGGGCGACTTGCCATACATCAAGAGCTGCAATGGGCTTTTTAAGGGAACATTTTTCTGGGCGCCTTATTTCGTTGCATGGAAATGTGGAACGGCCACCTCGGTCACCAGACCTTTCATGTTGTGACTACCTTTTATGGGGCTATTTAAAATCCAAAGTTTACATAGACAAACCGCAAACTCTTGAGGCTCTTTCGGAACTCATAACGCGCGAAATTGAAAGGATTCCTCGTGCCATGCTAGAAAGGAGTATGGATGATTTTGCAATCCGTCTCCAAGAATGCATCGACAAGAATGGACGCCACCTAACTGATGTAATTTTTCGCACCTGACTATGTTATGTTACTTAATGGCATCATTCCACTAATGTATTAAAATAATAAATTTTGATGTATGTTTAAAAATGAAAGTTTGTAATTTTTTTCAAAAATACCATACTCCATTGCCGGACCCTGTACAACAATTTTCGCCGTGTGATATCCCCTGAAGAGCGTTTGACTGTGACACTGAGGTAAGAAGATAAACAGAATATTGAAATTATAACTTAATTAACTTTTTATTCTTCAACATAAACGTTTTTTAAACAAATAAATTTTTGAAAAAAACGTCATTTAACAGAAATAGAACACAAATAAACTTCTTTGTAACTGAACTAAACCTATTTCTAACGGATATAAAAATAAAGAACCTCCCTCAGATTTTCTTGGAGACATTTTGGAACAGATTAGCTTCTTTTTTCGATGTCTGTTGGATCAAAACTTGTGAAAAAAGTCTGAAGCTGTGGCGGATTGTGCTGTGTGGCTAACTGACGAGTTCCTTCCAAAATTACGTAGCTTGTACTGGATTGGGCGCTCGAACAATCACTTAGCCAGTCTTCACTCGATGACTGGTAGCCTGGACTGGGAGTTGGTAAATATGATGGAGAGGGCTGATTCTTCATGAGAACTTGCATCAAGTCCGCTCGTACGGACAACTGTTGAGAAGCGGGTATTTTTTTAAGAAAAGGGTGCAAACTCATTAGGAATAGCATTTCGCTATCCTGCACAGGCCCCTTGAAATATTTCAATTTCTCTTGCTCAATTCTAAGAAACGCTTCATCATACTTAGCTGCTTCATTCTGTCGCCTATTTTTCTTCTTTGGTGGTGACTTGAACAGGCGTTTAGAGGATGATGATGATGATTGTGGTGATTGATGGATTTGTGGTAGCAGAGTTTGTGAAGTCGTTGGTGTCGTTGGCGGTGATTGTTCTGTAGATATATTATCATCGTCATCATGCTCGACATCCGCTTCATTAATGTCAGTTGCCTCAGATTCGGGGATACTACCTTCCAAGGTTCTTGGTGTCATTATATCTTTTAGAAAAAACATTAGTTCATAAAATGGCCATTTAGAGGTGTAGAGAGGGTATACCTTTGAACATTGAACCCACACCGAATGGCTTCCAACAAAACGCAGCCATTCGAGCACGTAACAGAGGTGAAAACCATGCTGTCAGAAGAGCATATGCTATTCGAGAACAATTTAAGTCTTTTTTCAATAATAATCGTATATAATTTTTTCTAGCATTAAGAAGAAAAATATTCTGTACTTAAAAAAATTAATGTTTGTTTACAAAATACATATCTGTACACTTCATTTCTGATGCTATTTCTTTCCAAGCCTTTCTTTGCAAATCTCTCGAATGGTAATTTTCACTATTTAAATTCCACAAACACTCTTTTTCGTGAACCAACATTATTAGTCTTTCTGTATCCATTTTTTCCTATACAGAAAATTAATAAGCACGCACGACTATACCACAAAATCCAAACCCGTTTGCATCGAGTCGCTTGTCGGTCCTATACGTGCGTAGTCGTACGAGCAAATCGTCTGCAGTGTGAGAACAGATATGCATTTACGTAAGTTGGGAACCTTCGTGTGTAATCGGACGATTATACACGACTCCAAGTCGCACATGAGCGTACCCTTAAGAAGAATAATCGTGAAAAACAGGCGTGCCAATTATTTACAATTAAGTGCTCTGTGGAGTGACGCTGTTGGAACGAGAATTTCGAGATCCACAATTCATAGACAGGTCCACAAACTGGGATTTAGCACTTGCAAGGTAAGTTTTCTTACAAAAAAGTGAAGTAAAAACCCTAAAGTTGAACAACTTGTTTATAGGCCAAAGAAAAGCCACTATTAACTCCACTGCAAAAAAAAAATCGGCTTAGATGGGCTAAAGAACATAGACAATGGACACCTCAACAATGGTGTGCAATACAATGGAGTGATGAGGCCCGATTCGAAGTTTGTGTTGGCCACAGTCGCAGTAGAGTTATTCGCAAGAAAAATGAAGCATTACATGTTGACTGACTGAAGAGAAAAGTGAAATTTCCAGAATCCATTATGGTCTGGGGCAGTATGTCATCAAAAGGAGTAGGAAAACTTCATTTTATTGATGGAAATGTGGATACAAACAACTATTTGGCAATTTCAATGTTTGACATCCGGCCAAGATTTTGTGTTTCAGCCAGGTGGTGCAGCGTGCCATACCTCAAAAAAGGCTACAAAGTGGATGGAAGAAAATAATGAACCACTTTTGAAATGTGTTTCTAGCAGTCCAGATCTGTCACCTATTGAAACTTTGTGGCACGAGATGAAAAAGTTTCTACGGCAGCATCCTGCTCGTACAATTACCGAACTGAGAAGCTTCAAGAAATATGGGATTGTTTTACACCAAATTTTTGCCAAAACTTGGTTAACACTATGCCCCAAAGAATTTCAGCCGTAAAAAAAATAAAGGTGATGTTACCCAATGGTAATCTTTCAATTGTTGCTTTGTTAACTTCACACATTTATTCGCACATTGTTTATTTGTTCAGATGTTCTATTAGTTATAGATCTAAGTGATTTCAAATATGAATTTTTTACGACTAGAGTGTATCTAAAATGTTTTTGAGAAAATAAATTGTTTTAGAAGTAAATAGTTTCGTCATGTTTAGCTTATAAAGGCATATTTTGGTACAAATCTTGAAGTGGGCCAACTGAAGTGGAAAGGGGCTCGTACTCCTTAGCTCACCTAGGAGGTGGACGCAGACGAGGATATAGCCTGTACGCTTCTTTTCCTGTTTTTATTTTCTACTTATTTTGATGACATGTTCCTCGAGTATTTAATTTCGCGGGTAAGCTTCCCAGTATATAGTTTTGTCTTGTTCCATTAGTTAAGTTTTTAGGGTTACGAATTCCTTTAAGCGACCCGAATGCTTCCCTATCAGGTCCCTGCGGTCAACTTCTAGGGTGTTTGACGATTTTGGTCTCTTCCTTATGTCATTTGCATAACCTATGGCTCCAGCAGTCTCCGACACCGTGGCCGTATCGGTGTCTCTCGAAGGGCACTCTCGCTCTGTTCTGTTAATTACCAAGGTACTATTTCAAATTTAAATAAAATTACTTCTCGCTGACAGCGCGTCTTTGACAAATCTCTTTACAAGTGTTTGAAAAAAATAAGTTAAACTGCGGTATTTAGGATGTTGAGTATTAGCTATAGACATTAGTGATCGGCTCAATCATCAGATGTCACTCCAAGCAGGGTATGAGTCCTTGTATATGGCTTACACCCCCCTGGTATCCAGTGACACTCGCACTGTCAGAACAACTCTAACCTCATTTGTCAAAATCGATCAAACCGTTTAAGCTGTAGCATGTGAAATAGGAACTTCAAAGATAAAAGTCTTTTTCAAAATCCGCTATTTTTTTTATGAAATATACAGACAAATCTGAAACACCTTATATGTCAAAATCCATCAAGCTGTTTAAGGTGTAGCCTGTGAATTGGACCTTCAAAGTTTATCATTATTAGAATCAACTATTTTGTTTTAATATAATTTGATAATGTCTTGTGCTAAAACTCATCAAGCCATTTGGCATGTACCCCTTGAAATATAGTTTCTTGGACACATACTCGACGTATCCATGCGCGAAAAACGTATCCACGTCTTTTTTTGAGACAGTCAGGTAAAAACTTGATTTTCATTTCAAAATTACCTTCATTTCTAAAAAAAAAATTGGTACAGTACTTTAAGGATCGCTCAACTTGGATCCTAGAAGTCCGATTTTTGTTTGCATAAAACTCCAAAAGTGTTTCGGAAGTTAACACCAGACAAGTTGTCTAAAAAAGAAAAGACTGCAATGAGTTAAGCATTGTGCAGTTCTGGGTAATTCCCTTTTCGGAATATATATATATATATAGTACATGTTACTATTGCTAAATAAGGTAAATGTGTCAGGGTTAACATCATATGTTTTTAAAACATTTATTAGGCTCTAGATGGTGGGGCATACCAATGGCAAAGTATCTCGAGAAACACAACTTTCATCTGATAATATTAAATATATAATTCAAAACCTTATTGCAATAAGATTTAAAAAATTAGCTGCTTCCAGCATTTCTCTTACGATCAAAATTATTCACAAGATACAAATTTGGAACATTGAAATCACCTGCCTGTATGACGCTACCTGATTTGTGACACATCGTTTGTCCTAGTTTCTTGGTAAAGTGTTCAAACACATCATTTGTTATAGTAGAGGGAATATAGATTACAGCCACATAAAAGTTTAACTGACCTGTCTAACATATACAGACTAATATATAAATCAACTGAAAGCTAACATCGAAAATTAACACATCTACTATTTATGCTTTAATGTGATTCTTCAGTGCTAATATACCATATCACTACTTTGCTCGTTATTGACATCACATTTCCTATCCTTTCTGTAAACATCAACAGATTCCGTAGGGAATAGCTCACTGCCCATCTCATCCGTTTGTAAATTAGATTCAGTTAAAGCAACAATGTCAAATTCAGCTTCACTAACAGATGAAAAAACACCAGTATTGCTACGCTGTTAGTAACAGCGAAAGCTGTTATCCTTACTGCTGGCTTTGAAGATTTTCCAGAAAAATTTTAGGAATCCCATTCACATGTTTAATTTTTATGTTCAACTCACCAAAATCAAGAATTTTCTTTAACTCATCTTTAACCTTTTTATAGAAAGCAGTAAGGTGCTCCGGAGTGCGACCAAATTAATGAAAAATTTTATTCTTAGAACGGGAGTTCTTAAGATCCTTCAATTTCTGGATTAATTTCGGATATTCCGTGGAGACCCAAATGAGAAAGGTTTAATCACAGTCCCATCAACATCCGGATCAATAACACGTAATATTTCCATAATATCATTTTTAATCACACCGCGTTCTTATCCTGAACCTGCTCGCCATTTCCAAATACATATGATCAATTTTTTACGGCGTCGTGCTTTTTAAACAATTTCAAATATGATCACCCTGATCGAACGGCTTCGTGATATCAAGAGCAACGACATGGGGCTTATCATAAGACTGGCGCCGGAAACCATATCGAATGTCACTAATCAACCCGTGACCTCTAGTTCTTCAGAAGCTTCCAATTTATGCACCTCGCCATCATCTTACTTATAAGAGAGAGCAGAGCTATTACAGGCCTGTAGTAGTAAGGGTCGGTCTTAGGTCGTTTTTGGGATATGCTGGTCATGTACAACTTTCCAGTTTTCTGACAAAGTATCGCATTCGTAAGACATCAGGAATACACCGGTAAGAAACAAGTCCGGACCAGAAGCTTTGTTGACGTAGAGCGACAAGAGCATCCATCTTAAGGTCTTATGCCTGAAGGTAGGCAGAATCTAGGAAACGTTTTGAATCGACGGCACTCGGGCTTTGGTAGGTACGTTCATGGTGGAGTTGGCGGCAAGCTTGATAAACTTCCGCCTCAGCCTTTGAGTCGGTTATAATCGTTCCATCCTGGCACGTAAGCGGCGGAAGGATACTTCTTTGAGAAAATTAGCATGTCCGTAATAATGGTAGTATGGTGAATTTTGAGGCATGTGGTGAGAATTTTTGTTTTGGAATTTAATTTCTTAAGAAATCGACTAAGGGCCAATTTCACCAACAACAGTCCGTTATTCTCCACCTATAGGGTAACAGACCGTCAAATACAGCGAATGAGCTTCAAGTTCCAATCAACAATTCTAGTTTTTTAATATCCATACATCCATAAAGTTGAACATGCACACTAAATTCACAGCGATCAACAAATACTCAAACTTATGTCGTAAACCTCCCGGCAAACTTAAAACCTGCAGAAAAACTAGAAATTTGCAATAACTTTCTTCTTGCACTGAGTACATATTCTGGGTTATATTTATATTAGACGTTATTTGAATCGCAAAACATATACACTATTTGAATAACAGCTGATTATCTCCTGATATTTTAAAACTAACCATATCGACAAGTGACACATAATTCTGTGGGATCCGTTAACACTTCGTCCCAGTGGTAGTGGTGTTGATTATCGTTACTTTCGAGTACTCGTTACTAATCGTTACTCTTCTACAAAGTAATCGTTTATTGTATTCGTTACTTTGATTTCTATGAGTAGTATGAGTATAACGATTTGGCAATGTGCCTCGTGTGATTAATGTCGAATTTAAACAAGTTGAATGGAACCGAATCTTGTAAGAAAATAGATGACCTTAAGATTTGCAAAATGTTATAAGCATAGTTTACTCAAGACTATCGTGTTTAATGCAAACATTATATCTTCAAACTGTATGCTTATCGAGATGAGTGATCATAGGAAGGAGTGTCATATGACTCATATGAGCCTACAAACTGAAAATACTTTGTATTTACTAGAAATACTCAAAAACATGTCTTTTAGTCAGAAAGATGATCTGTATATGGGCTTAAGGAAATTTGAAATGACATGTGACTTTTCGAAGCATTTCAATTAAGCATAATATACCAGTATAAAAAATTCTACGTTGAGCTTGGTCTACACATACTATTGGTCATACTGAATTATAATTTTTTTTAGCAAAACAGTGCATAGAAACACGAGTCAAATTGACATAACTTTTATTATTGTGGTTTTCCTGAACGGTGATGTTACCTTGTTGTCGCTTTTCTGCCTCATAATACTGCCGAAGTTTGATCCGATCCAATCGACTACTTATTCCTTTTCAGGTTCCCAAGATCACAACAATAAAAGCAAATTTGTGTCACGGTGTAAATAGGTAAACTTCAGATTTAAAAACAATTACCAAATTCTATGTCCGCCAATAAAAAAATGAGTTTCCAGGTTTCCATCTGAATGTGGGATGTCTGGCAACCCTGGTGCATGAGCGGTAGTGCTACAGTCTAACCAGCGTTACCACTCAACGATCAACGATTGTACAGGTACCGGGTAGGGATACGGAAAACAGAGTAATCAAAGCAACCATTTTGGGACCGCGGTTGGCCGCGTGGGTCAGAGTGTCGTGCTACTGATCAGCCGGCCGGCCGGGTCGCGAGTTCGAATCTCGCCTTCGCCATGGATGTTGTGACGTCGTGTGTTTGTACATAATTAGATATATTCTATATACAACCTAGTTTCTGGCTGCATGGCTTAGTCCTAAAGCCAAAAAAAAAAAAAAAAAAGCAACCATTTCGTTCTCGGATTGGTACTCGTTACTTCGGGTATCTATGAGTAACAAGTACTCGAGTTTCGTATGATTACTCTTTCAACACCACTATACAGTGGAGCAAACTCTGCCAACTGTCGAAATAAACTTTGTTTATTCCAAGTCTTATTTATGTTTTACTGTGCCTGCTTAGATATTCAAATACGGCCAGGAATTATTAGCGCCTGGCTATTTTAGGCCTTCAATAACTCCTTATTTTAGATCTCTCCTTATTTTGTTTTTTCCACGCATTCATGGTAGAAAGAAAAATATGTTATCGAATATCGATACCGTATACCGTGCAGCAGGCATGGCCGTCACTACTTTGACAGATTGCAGAATGATGTCAAGGTGACAATCGTTATGTGTTTTTGTTTTTGTCTGAAATAGGCAAGTAGGCTTTGTGTAATTTTTTTATTTTTATAGCGTTTCCAGAATTTCATATTTCGAAACGATGTCAAGTGCCGGCAGGAGAAAATCTTTCTCTATCATCGCCATCCCTATATTGTATCCCCACCAGTCACCAGTTAAAAACCGTAACCACCAATATTTTATCACAATTTATAATTCTTTTTAGCTCTTATTTTTCAGCAATTACTAATAATTTTAGGTCTATGTCTACAGTAATTGCATTATGCATCTCGGAGGTGTAGGGATTAACATGTTTTACACATATCGGTGTTTTAGGATGGGGACGACCAAAGAGAGATGAGTAATTGGTTTTAATACATTTTATATTCTATTTTCTTGCACAATTCAACAGGTATGTGTAGCTTTAATGATCTCATAATATACACACAGTATATTGAACAAATTTCGAGATTGCCATGAATTAACAAACGACCAAACCTGCTGCCAAATTTAACAGCTAGAAAATCGACCTATTATTTCGCCCATTTCCATTCGCTGAGGGGATAACGGATTGTTAAATGTAAACCTATAACATATATCAAAATACATGAAAGTTGTCCTGTTTTTTCTGTACAAAAGCATCATGTTCGAATCAAAAAGTGGTCTTGTTTATAATACAGTCGAATTTTTACGATTTTATTCAACATTTTAACAGAACTCACTGATATTCTGACACCTTTGACAGCTTCCGTAAAATTGCATTTCGATAAGGTATTTTCCTATTATTCCATAATAATAATGTAGGTGAAATCGGCCCTAAATCTCTGTTACTTCTATTAACATCCTCAAGTCAAACTATTCCAGGGCGACATCCGCTAGGCGGTGCTATCATCGCGCAGCCTGCGAAAACGATTGCTGGTAATGCCCACTATGGATTCTGTATAAAATCTGATTAATCAGTTCATGTATACTACAAAGTGCACAGATGCATGCGTACCGGCAATATTAAATTAAATAAATTATTTGTTGATTAATATCGTTGAATTAAATCAACGTTCGAGCATGTTAACAACAACGCATTCGTTTTAATGCGTCCGGGGAAATTTTGTTAAACAGAACACTCTAATAGTAAATATAATAACGGTACACATTTGGAAACTGGGAAATATTACATATTATACACAAATCATTTTGATTACTGCCAATTACAGAGCTCTAATAAAATCGGTGAATATTCGAGTGGCTCAGCAGATATACAGAGGTGTTTACTCCATATTGTGCGTGTTTGGCGTGATGATATTAAAACGTACGATAGGTCTCTATGTATTAAAAATGGTGGGTTCGACGAGCTATTGATCGATAACATACCAGAAACTCACCCTGTATACAGAAAATGTAGAAGAACTAGGAAACTACAAAGTATTATACGTGTACATATATTATTTTCTTTCTTGTGTCGCTCAGCGAAAGTAAACAGAGCGATGGTAAATTCTCATCACTGTAGACAAACTTTCAAGGAAAGACGTACTTAAAGGGGGATGGAGGATACCAGACGAAATAAGATAAACATCATTTCCAGGTAGAGCCGGTATAGTCCTCGCAATTGCTTCGTATATTTGCTTCGCGCTGGATTCGCATGACTGGCATGACGTATTTGGCTCTTGATTTACAGGGGATACACTCATTTTATTGTAGCGAATCCAGTGTTGTTTCTGAACATAGTCGTACTGAAGAGATGGATCAAACCGAGAAAGCAATACTTAATATCGACGAGGCTTATAGCGCTATTTTTCAATGGCACATATTGCACATGTGTCACTTAGGCTCGATTTTATTACCCAGCGCTCAAAATTTGCTCCAGGGAGCAAATTTCACCAATCAATAGGCGTCTTTGTAATAATAATACAGCCGATTTCTACTAAAATACTTCTTAAACTAGTGAAAAATTATACAATTTGTGTAAGATAGGTCCCTAATCCC